CTGCAGACTCGGAGCTGCGCTCACAGAACCACTGCAAATTTGTGTTTGGGACCACAAACCCACTGCAAATCCATCACAAAAGGGCTGCAGCTTCGCAGCTGCGATGGCAAAACAGCTGCAAACGTGTTTGGGATCCCCAAACTGCTGCAGGGTCACGTCTGTGACGGCAAAACTGCGCCAGAGTCGCAGCTGAGATCACCAAAAGTGCCACAAATTCACACTTATGATCCCAAACCCGCTGCAGATTCCTGCCTGTGGCCCCAGACCCACTAAGATCTGCAGCTGGGATCACAGAAGTGCTGCAGATTTATAGTTGCAATCACCAAACTGCCACAAAATTTGCATTTATGATCACGAAACTGCTGCGAACTCATGTCTGTGATCATGAAACCACTGCAGATTTGTAGCTGCAATCACAAAACTGTCACCAATTTGCACTTATGATGCCAAAAACTCCGCAGATTTGCAGCTGGGATCACAGAAATGCTGCAGATTCACAGTTGGGATCCCAAAATCACTAAAAATTCCCATTTGTGATCCCAAACCCGCTGCAGATTTGCAGTTCCTATCACAGAAGTGCTGCAGATTTAGAGTTGCAATCATAAAACCATCCCAAGCTTGCATTTATTATCCCAAACCCACTGCAAATTCCTGTTTCTGACAGCAAAACCACTGTACATTTAGAGTTGCAATCCCCAAACTGTCAGAAATCTGCATTTATGATCCCCAAACACTGCAAATTCCTGTTTGTGATCCCAAACCCGCTGCAGATCTGGAGTTAAAATCACAAAACTCGCTGCAGATTTATAATTGCAATCAGAAAACTGTCACAAAATTGCACTTATGATCCCCAAAACTGCTCATTTCCAGTTGCAGTCCCCCAAAATGCTGCAGATTTACAGCTGCAATCCCAAAACTGCCACCAGGTTTGCATTTGTGATCCCAAAATCTCCACAAATCCCTGTTTGTGACGCCAAACCCGCCACAGATTTGCAGTTCCTATCACAAAACCGCTGCAGTTTTATAGTTGCAATCACAAAACTGCCACAAACCTGCAAATATGACCCCCAAAACTCTACAGATTTCCAGCTACAATCACAAAACTGCTGCAGATTTACAGTTGGGATCCCCAAATCACTAAAAATCTCTGTTTGTGATCCCAAAGCCGCTGTAGATTTGCAGCTGGCATCACAAAGTGCTGCAGATTTACAGCTGCAATCCCAAAACTGCCACAAAATCTGCATTTGTGATCCCAAAACCTCAGCAGACTTCCAGTTGCAGTGAAAAAAAATCACTGAAACTTTGTGTTTGTGACCCCAAAAGTGCTGCAGATTTACAGCTGCAATCCCAAATCTGCCCCAAAAATCGCATTTGTGATCCCCCAATCTCCCCACGTTCCCGTTTGTGATCCCAAGCCCGCCGCAGGTTTGCAGTTCCTTATCCCAGAGCTGCAGATTCCCGGTCACAATCCCAAACTGCTGCAGATTTTTGCACTTCCTGATCCCAAAACCGCCGCGGGATTTCCGGTCGTGACCCCCAAAACCGCCGCGCGTTCGTATTCGCAGCCCCAAACCCGCCCCGATTCGCCGCCGCGACCCCAAATCCCAGCACAAAAGGCCCCTTTACCCCAACCCCGCTGCCCGGGCGCCACTCCCG